CCCCGGGGGGTCACCAGCCAACATTGACCGGCCGATGGCACCCGGAGGAGGCCCAATCTGTGTGATCTTATTGGTCTTTCGGAGGTAAATGGCAGCAGGCGGTCTCTCAGGTAGAGAGGTGGAGCTCAGGAGGGCTGCAGGCAGAAGGTTGCAGGAGGCTATTGCAGATGAAAATGGAGTTTGGGAGTCCATTTTTACTGGCAGAGTGCTCGGACCACCACAGGTGTCCCTGACACTAATGACGGGCTAGCCATGCCACCCTGGCCCCCAAGTTCAAACACAACCCTGATGCAGCTCTCAATGAAATCAAATTTGACACCCTTGGTTTAGTGATTAAGGCACCAGGCTAGAAAATGGGAGACTGAGTTATAGTCCCGCCTTAGGCATGAAAGCTGACTGTGTGACTTCAGCCTAGTCACTATTCTTAGCCCAACCCGCCTTACAGATGCGGAAAATAGAAGGAAGGAGGAGGATTAGATATGTTTGCTGCCTTTATTTACTTACAAAAATGTGGGATAAAAATAAATAAATATATATTTTAATGCTCCAAACATTTCTAGAATACCTGCAGGATACTACATTACAGTAATCTTGCAAATTCATTTTCTGGATATTTTATGAGGAGGTGATACAGCAGCTTTAATCAGATCTATCCTTTGTAATCTTATTGTGTTCTGGCTTACTTGAACAACATAAATCTTCTACCCCAGAAGACTTTGAAAAAGAAATATCAAGAAATATAGTTTAGCAATCTAGCCCTAAATATATTTACCACTTTCAAGCTGAACATTAGTAGTGAAACTCATAGAAAATTTCAATTTGTTGTTTATAACAGGCTCCCTCAGGTAAACATTACAGCATTTATCTTGAGCTGAGGAAAAAGAAGTGGCTGCTATCACTTCATACTATCTGAAACTTTGGGTTGAATCAGTAGAACTGAATAGGTCTTATTGTATCTACAGCCATCAGTGTGCCTCTAAAACCTTTCTTTACTACAGTATCTGAAATTATTTTTATTAAGTAACTATCAGCATGTTATCTTTAGTTACAAAATTTTTCTGGACATCACATGAATCCCACATTAAATACAATTAATTTTTTATTTTATTTTATTTTATTATTGGTTGCATATTATTCTCTGGAAGAGTACTTTCTGCCTGGAGAGAAGGAAAAAGTAAGAGTCATAAAGAATATTTCCCAGAACTATACAAGTAGCAATAATAAATGGATGTTAAGCTCCTACCATTTCCACTAGTTATAATATCAATGAATAAAAAGGAGTCATAAAAGTCACTTAGAAATAATAATGAAATTTTAACTGTTAACAATTTTAAATGCTACCCTTTAATTCATTTTCTGATTGAGGGACTAAATAAGAGATTACAGTGTTTTTATTATTATATTTTAACTACATGATTCATATTCTTATCATCTTTCAACTGGACTGCTACAATGTTGTTTATATAGTGCTGTTTTTAAGACCAGTTAAAAAATACAGTTGTCCACAATGTGAAAGCTCATTTCCTCATGAATTGGATTCATCAGTTATTTTACTGATGTTTTGTGGCCACTGCATTGGAAGCCAATTTGAAATG